GCTTTTAGTGTTGATTATACAATGTGTTAATCAGGGGTGGACTGTTAATGTTGTACTCATTATTTGACTGATATCCTTAAATCAATTTTTTTGTAAGTCCTTGATTATATGAAGATAAACTAACAAATATTCTAATTGCTCTCTTCCCTATGATAATATGGACTGATTTTGATGCTTAATTCGTGTGCCTTGATTTTATGTTATACGATTGACAGCTACATGCAAATCAATTTCCCAAGTTGGAGTTGCATTCATGGCTGATTGCACTTGGCATGTTTGATGTGTTTGGAACTAGGTGGCTATACCTAACTTCTTGCTTGTAGATCGGTTTACAGTAATAGGCTCAATTACTCGGTGATAAATACAGGAATCAAAACCATTTTACAAAAATTTAGATGGTATTAGTGTATACTTCATTTTCGTGTATATGTTGCTATCTTAGTGAAGATTTCGATGAATTCTTTTCAATTTTTTGCTTTCCATAACAGCACTATTTTTATAGCAACAATGGCTCAACGGATTAAAGCACCTCGGCCACCAGCTTCCTTTGAGTTTGAGCTGTTTGAAGGAGATCCTGACCATCTTAGAACTGTTGTGGCGACACCTACTCAGATTAGTCCTTGGATTGCTCCTGCCTCGTTGAAACTTAAGCATAGGATTGGACGGGGCCCCTTCGGTGATGTTTGGTTGGCTACTCATCATCAGTCTGCTGATGATTTTGACGAGTATCATGAAGTGGCTGTGAAGATGTTGCATTGTATAGAGGAGGATAGGACACAAACATTTACTGATAAATTTGAAGAAATATTTCTGAAGTGCCGAGAACTCCAAGAAATTTGTTGGCTGCACGGTATATCGGTTATAAACGGAAAGGTGATTCTTCCAATTTAACATTTTTTATTTTTATTTTTATTTTTTTTGCATATTTTTCATTCTATTTTCTTAATGGAACATCTTAGGTCTGTTTTGTGGTACTTTGTCAGTACATGTTGTTCTTCTCACTTATATCCTTGAGAGAAATACAAGATGTAACTTTATTATTAGTTAACATGGCATTGTACTGTAAATAGCATGTTAGTTGTTTAGTTTCAACCGGTGAGGGACTGGACTGCGATATGTGACAATTGATGGATAACATATTGAAGTTTTAGATGTTATTTGAACATGCACGCGCGCTGCAATTCTGCAGCATTTATGTATTTACCTACATATGTAAACTGGCTGATAAAGTTTTTTGCCTTTTGTAAATGAAATGGGATAAATCAAGAAAAGAACACTTGAAATGTTGGGTACTCGTCTTGGCAGATCTGCATTGCTATGAAATATTATGAGGAATCAGTTGCTGATCGAATAGCGCTGCGGAAAAGAGGTCAGATTCCATTATCTACCATTTTGAGGTAATGACTTTAAGCATATACTTTTTCTTTGTCAATCATGTTTCTGCAATAGAGGAAATTGTCAAGCAGTGGAAAATGGTTAGCAGGTATGGAGTCCATATGGCAAGAGGAATCAAGGAGTTGCATACACTAGGATTGTTGGTGCTCAACCTGAAGCCTTCTAACTTTCTTATTAATGATCATGACCAACTGGTATTAGGAGATTTTGGAATCCCATACTTACTGCTCGGAATTTCCTGGTCTGACCCAGACATGGCTCTCAGACTTGGAACTCCAAATTACATGGCTCCAGAACAGTGGGAACCAGAACTAAGGGGTCCTTTGTCATTTGAGACTGATGCATGGGGATTTGGATGTAGCATAGTTGAGATGTTATCTGGAAATCAACCTTGGTTTGGGAAATCAGTTGAACAAATATATGATTCAGTTGTGATCAAGCAAGAAAAACCAGACATTCCAAGTGGTTTGCCCCCTGCTGTTGAAAATGTAATTAATGGTTGCTTTGAGTACGATTTAAGAAATCGACCATTAATGACAGATATTTTACATGCATTTGAAAGGTACAAGCTCCTGCTTACTTATATTACTTAAAGTGAGAATCACAAGAAAAAACGAAAACAAAAGTTACTTCCTTTGCCAATAGCTTATTTTGATAGAATATGAATTATTCAGTTTCCTTTGTACCTCAAGTTTTTGATTTGCTATATGATCTAATATTGCACAGAAACCAATAAACATTACTCTCACTAGCACACAAAGTCCTCTGAAATTTGTACATGTTACAGTGGTATTATGAATTATTCAGTTTCCTTTGTACCTCAAGTTTTTTATTTTCAAATATGATCTAATATTGCACTGAAATCAATAAACATTACTCTCACTAGCATACAAAGTCCTCTGAAATTTGTACATGTTACAGTGGTTCAACTTATAAGATGACCACAAATGGCGGTTGGAGGGTTGATCTAAAATAATTTATAATAAATTGCACGGTTAAATAGTGTATTTATATGCAATACCATAAAAACTACTAATGATAATTACTTTTACTGAAAGAATTTGTATGTATTTGGTTTAAATCAAACTTAAGATGCTTTTGTTGAATATGACAGAGTAAATGTTGACAGGTGTTACCAGTACAATCTTATAGTTGTTACGTTGTGTTTAATTTTATTCCTATTTAATTTCTTGTCAATCCCTGGTTCTGATTTTCATACCAATCTTTGACATGTATATTAGTTCTTAGTTCTGATCTTCATACGAGTCTTTAATATATACATTAGAACATGATTTGTAATCTTTAGTTACCATTATCTCTATTTTGAATTCATTTGTTGTGACAAGGCAACCTTTGCCTTAAACGGCAGGAATTGAATTTCCGCCATCAAGGAATTCAAGATGGCAGTGGCGGAACTAAAATATCACAGATTACGTTCTACATTATCCATGTTACAAAATATTAGATCTGGAAGTAGGAATTGGCTAGAAATAGAACATAATGGAACCAAACACTAATTTGGAGTTGGAACTACAGATTTGCATTGATCAGTATTTTAACACACTACTGAATTTTTTCAAATAAGCTGAGGCTTCATTTATCTGGATAACCTGAAATGTTTCTTGTTATATTTGCGTTTTTGTACTGCATCCGAAATCTTTTCTAAACTGTATTAGATCTTGTAGAGAATTTGCTATTGCAATATACACACTTCCACTAGGAAACAAATTGAACTACAAATCTAAGACACCCTTTTGGGATATAAAAAATATTTTGTAGTTTTCATTTTCTATATTAATGTGTTTATCCATGTATTTATTTATAAAAGTATGTAAGAGGTCTTTTGCAAATAATCAAGCATACCTAAAGTGGTTTTCTCCAAAACATTAAAAACAATATGTTGTAGTTTCCAGCTTCATTATCATTTTTACTATTGTTTTATTGGTAGCTTATATGTTTATAGGCTGTGTTTCTCCCTTGGGATTCTGGGTTATATTTTGATAATTTGCCCTGAACTTGCAGTTCACAAAATGCTGTTTATATTGATGGAGGATGGATTGGTCTAGGAAGCCAATCACTGGCAGAAAATGCAAGTCTTTGTGGCTATTCTTCATGGTTTCTCTCAGAAGATCATTTCCAAGTAGGTGATACTGTCCGTTCAAGAAAGCCTATTAATGCATGCAAACCCCAAAATATTGATTTACCTGAAGGAACTGTGGTTGGTCTAGATTGTGAAGGTGAAAGAAAAAGTTTTGTTCTGGTGAAGGTGCCAGGAATCCGGAACCCTCTAACCGTCCAGGGGTCAATCCTTCAAAGTGTCACCTCTGGCTTTGCAGTTGGTGATTGGGTTTGTTTGAAAGATGAAAGCACTGTTCACTCTCCAGTGGGGATTCTGCATTCTGTGTATCGTGATGGAAGGGTTGCTGTTGGATTTATTGGATTAGAAACTCTTAGGCTTGGGAAGTGTTCGAATCTCCGAATGGCAACTCCTTACTATGTTGGGCAGTTTGTTAGACTAAAGGCAAATGTTTCAACTCCTCGTTTCAAGTGGCCTCGTAAGAGTGGAAGAACATGGGCCACCGGGAGGATCTTACAGGTGCTTCCAAATGGGTGTCTGGTTGTGGATTTTCCAGGGAGGTTTGTGTTTGGAGATGAATCCAACAGATTCCTGGCAGATCCAGCTGAAGTGGAACCAGTGTCATTTGAAAGTTGTCCTGGGATCATTGGTAAGTATCGACATATGGAGGATTTTCACTGGGCTGTGAGGCCACTGACAATTGTATTAGGTATGCTAATGGCTGGGAGGATTGGCATATCTGTTGGACGAGGTGTGAATAAAAGAATGAAGAAAAACAGAAGAAATTGTCAGGAAGGGCAGGCAGCGGGCAATGCAGCATGGCTTCCACCACCAGTAGCAAATATTATTTTCCGGGAAGGTGTTCCTGCTGCTGCTAGGTGATTCTGTGAAGGCATTTAAATCTGATATGACCAACAGAAATCAGAAAAAACTTTAAGAAAACTACAAGGGGCATAGTAACATGATAGTTTCAGGTTGTAGGAGGGAGTGGTGCCTGCTAATTCTAATTTGGTATGGTAAAGCAGGAGGTTGCTTGAATCAGAAAACAAATTAAGATGTAAATATATCTTTTACAAGCTATCTATATTTTTACATGAAAAATAGAAAAATGTCACAGTTAATTTGTTAATGGACAGAGAGAGGTTTCTATTATCCATCTAAGCAGTGAACAATGAGTTAATGAACAGAAAATCTGCAACTTATGGTATGACAAGCATTACAGAATTTGCATAAAAGTGTTTTGATTTTGAAGTAGAATTGTATTAGATGTGTTCACGTTGTTGGGAGCATATTTTTCAGGTGTGAGGTAGATCCCATGCCGTTCTAGATGCAGGCAGAGTGGGCAAGCCCTTTATCCTCTGTTGATGAGCAAAGTGGTGGATTGCATCTTGAATTCCAGAAAAAGCGACAAGGAACTTGGCTGCATCGGTGAGATTCAGCACCTTGTTGACAGCCATCTCCAATGTGTTGAACCTGTAATGAGAGCAGTAAGTAAATATGAGATTGAATACATTTAAGCAAGTAAAAGATATATGAATGCAAGTAGACCTTAGCTGTTGTGCCTTAGAGATGAGGTTGTGAATCTTGTTGAAATGGTGATTCATTGCGGATGAATTTGAAAAAAAAGGAGGGTGAGCTTGCAGCTCAGCCATTTGGCCATCAATTATAGCCTCCTCGATGCGTACATCATGGAGAAGCTGCGGAAGGAGGCGGTGGTTGGAAGAATGAGGTATCAGGAGTTGGAGGAGGTGAATAATGAGAGATGGACGCCAATCTCCATTCCAAGAAATGGCAGCCAATTCATGGGGTGGCATTGGAATTGTGGTTCTGTATCGGTTGAGCTGTTCCTGGATAAGCTCCTCAAGTTGGTATCTTGCCTTAAGCTCTTTCTCTATCCTCAATCTGATCTTCTTCTGCTCTTGCCTCCGCCCACCTAATAACCAAATCTTACTCACTCTCAGCTTGCAAAAACCGCTTTACCAGATAAGCAAAGAGGGAGGTGAGGGTGATAGATGTATGTATACATACAAATATGTATTTGTACCTGTCTCATACTTTTGGAGCCGCATGCCCTTAAATCTCTCTCTTTCTATTTCTTCTTCTTCTTCTTTGTTTTCTTCTCTGCCTTTCTTCTTTTCTTCTCCAATCTTGTTATCTTCATTGCAGAATCTGCAAAAAAAATTTCTATTTACCACAAATATTAAACCAAAATAAAACACTTCATCAAGACAAGAATCATTATTAACACCTACATCATGTGTTTCATTCTTAATTTCTTTTTACCAATTACAAACCCTCCCTTTATTTTCTCTGTTTCCTTTTCTCAAGAAAAACACAAAACCTACTGCATGACTCTTCAGTATACACACACACACATATATATATATATATTGTAAACACATGAACAAGTTAACAATTTAGGGTACGTGGAAACTCCATATTCTTGATTCTTTTTGCTTTTCTCGATAACCAAACAACATTCTGGGTGATCAAAAATACAGGAAATGAGAAAAAGAATTCAAGAGAGATAAGATGGCGTACATAATATTTCTTTCTTCTTTCTTCGCGGTTTCTACAGTTTCTTGGATGGTCATTTTCTCTAGCAACAGAAAAGCGAGGGAAAGCACAAACTGAGAAAAAGACGAAGACAGGGTCAGTTTGGTCATTAAGTCCATATATATATTATAGTACATACGGGGCTTGTGATATCCCGTTTCTTTGTCTATTCTCCCGAAACGGCATCGTTTTCGTGAGGATTGATGTTCTTTTTTTCCTGTAAAACTGAGAAATAAGTAATATAGATATCCTGGAGTAGAGGAACCAAAATAAATTTTTTATTGGGGAGCCAAATTTTTTTGTTAATAAAAAAAAAATAGGAGTAAGAGTTTATCCTACCATAAGTAATTGTAGTTATATATTTTTTAACCCTCATATAAAAACTATATTTTATTATTTATTCTAATATTTTTGCTATATTAAAATAAATTGATATTTTTTATTAAATAAAAAAATCGTTAAATATATATATACCTTTATAAATTTAAAAATTTTATGTATAAATTGATAATAATTATTGAGTCCAACTAAGCAATTATTTTATCATAATTGTATCCTTTGAAAAATGTCTCACTTGGAAGAGAAAATGGCATCTTCTTATAATTAAAAATTCTCTTACTTCTAACTTATGTGTGATATAAATTTTTTTTTTACTTATTTAGATTTATAATACTAAATTTACTTTAATACTATTGAATTTTAGGAGGGTTTTATCTTTTTTCTACCTGGATAAGACCCAGGAAATGCTAAATTATATGTTGCATGTACCATATATATATATATGTGTATATATATGGTAGAACTAGATAAATGAGAAAATGTAATAAACCGGAATTAATTTTAAAAATTTAAATTTAATGTATAAAATATAATTTTTAAATTTTTAAATTTTTATTTAATATAAAAATTAGAAAAAAAAATAGATTGATGATGAAATTAAAAATAATTTTAGAAAAAATGTGAGAAAATTTGGATTCTCGGAGTGTTTTTAAAAGAAAAATCGAAAACTAGGGGGTCAAAATACAATTTAAAAAAAATATGTCACGTA